AGTTTCTGAAAGTATGGGGAATTCTACATGCTATGTTTGAGAGATTAGCAGGAGAGTTATACAATGCGAAGGTTACAGGACTATTTGTCCAAAAAGTTCATGAAACTGGACAGGTAGTGGTTCAGAAAAGAGCCACCTAAGATATAATATTTCCTCTCAAGGGAAAACATGTGCTGTTTTAGGGGGAAATGTGGCTATATAATTTTCTGGAAGCTTTAATATTACTGAAAAAAAATTCAGAAGGTAAACAAAGAGATCATGGTGATTTGGCTAACAATTCCATATTTGGTTCTTCAGATGAGGGATGGGATCTGTTCACTTGGCTTAATGCAGGCATTCCCGGCTCCCAGTTTAGAAGTGTATTATAAACTCTGATCATAACCCTTCTGAGTATCTGTCTCTGCTACAGTGCTCAGACATGTGGGCATCCTAGTCTTAAATGCCACTATGCAGCCACTGTCTCATCAAATGATCCAGCAAACGATCATCCACAAAATAAGGAAAACCTGATAGTTATGGAAGTTGAAATAACCAAACCTAGAAACTTAATATGCGATCAGAATATCTCCAAAAGCAGTGAAAATCAGGATTAATCATTTCCCCAGATATTAGTGGTTTATCCTTCAGTTCAGGCTGAAAAATTACTACAAGGAGGGATACTGAGGGAATAATCACCTACACAGCTTACTGTTTACACTAAAATAGCTTCCTATTTAGTTGTCTTCATTAACGTGATTTTACTATTCCAGGGAACTTTCCCAGGAAGATAAAATTGCAAATAACTTTATTATTTATTTCAGGGCTTCCTGGAAATCCATTTACCTGAACACTAAATTACTAAACTTAACCTCATCAGAGTAAATACCTCTACTCAGAACCCTGGATGGTGGTAGCACAAAGGGTTTCTGCTCAGCTACTAACTTAAAGGTTGGCACCCATCGGCATTGCTGAAGATAAGCCTGGCAATCTGTTTTCATGAAGATTATAGCCAAGAAAACCCTACAGAGCAGTTCTACTCTGTAACACGTGGGGAACCCTGAGTCAGAACTGACTTGATGGCAACAGGTTTGGTTTTTGGTTTTTTGTTTTTTCCACTCAGGACACCAGATAACATCAAACAACTATTTACTCTTCAAGACTCACTCTGAAACTGCATCTTGCTGTCCACCGATCCTGAACTATCATGTCATAAAGTTACTCAGTCCTAATCAAGCCCCTGAATCAAACGACCTGCCTCAAGCCAGACGTCAAAAACCTCACAAATATCTCATCCTTGTCCTTCTCAGTCTGAGACTCTACTACGACTCTGCCACGTGAGCGAGTGATCTCCCTTACTCTGGTAAGCAACACACTCAGCTTTGCTTTGTCAACAGGTTATTTTTGGTGCTATTTTTCAGGGAGCAAGCATTCAACCACAACTCAATGGAAAGCCTTCTCTTTCCCTGTGCTCAAAATCAGATACACTCCTATTTACTGAAAACAAGAAACCAATTACTGCCACTAAAATGTACCACTCCCCACATCAATATATTATTAACCCACCCCCTTCCTTCACTACCCTCAATAAGTTGAGAATTTTAAGTATCACCCTCCTCTCCTCAGTATAGATTAATTTTTTTCAAGACTCCTTATTGGAGCACTGATGGCGCAGTGGTTAAGAGGCTCAGCTGCTAACCAAAAGGTGGGCAGTTCCAATCCACCAGCTGCTCCTTGGAAACCCTATGGGGCAGTTCTACTTTGTCCTATAGGGTCGCTATGAGTTGGAAACGACTCGATAGCAACAGGTTTGGTTTGATTTTATTAAGTAACTATACATACCCGGTCTCACTATCTATTTAGATTTGCTAGCCCTGGTGGTGCAGTGGTTAAAGTGCTAGGCTACTAACCGAAAGGTCAGTGGTTCAAACCCACCAGCTGATCCACAGGAGAAAGATGTGGCAGTCTGTTTCCGTAAAGATTACAGCCTTGGAAACCCTATGGGGCAGTTCTACTCTACTGGAGCCCTCCTGGTGGCACAATGGTTAAGTGCTGGGCTGCAAACCGAAATGTCAGCAGTTCGAATCCACGAGTCACTCCTTGGAAACTCTATGGGGCAGTTCTACTCTATCCTATAGGGCTGCTATGAGTTGGAATTGAATCAATGGCCACGAGTTTGGTTTCTTTGGTTTATATATTTAAAAATATATTAAAAAGCCAAAGCAAACATATTGCTGTCGAGCCAATTCTGACCCATACTGACCCCAGACGACAGAGGAGAACCGCCCCATAGGGTTTCCAAGGAGTGGCTGGTGGACTCAAACTGCCAACCTTTTGGTTAGCAGCATATCACTTAACTACTGCACCATCAAGGCTCCTATCTATTAATACACAAGTTTAATTCACTCATATTTCTTGTTACAGCTGACATATTTAGACTCATTCTACCTATCTTATCCTTGTTTTTCTCCTTAATCATTTTTTCTTTTCTTTTTTTCTAAATTCTTCTACATTTTAGCTATCTTTTAGAGCAGCACCCCACTTTTCCAGTACCAAATTCTGTCTTAGTTATCTAGTGCTGCTACAATAGAAATACCACAAGTGGATGACTGTAACAAAGAGAAATTTATTCTCTCACAGTCTAGGACATTAGAAGTCTGAATTCAGGGTTCCAGCTCCAGGGGAAGGCTTTTCTCTCTGTCGGCTCTAGAGGAAGGTCCCTGTCATCAATCTTCCTTGGTGGAGGAGGTTCTCAGCATAGGGACCTCAGGTCCAAAGGACGCGCTATTCTCCAGGCTCTTGTTTCTTGGTAGTATGAGGTTCCCATGTCTCTCTGCTTGCTTCTCTCTTTTATATCTCAGAAGAGATTAACTTAAAACACAATCTAATCTTGTGGATTGAGTCCTGCCTCTTTAACATAACTGCCGATAACCTTACTTCATTAACATCGTAGAGGCAGGATTTACCACACACAGGGAAATCACATCAGATGACAAAATGGTAGAGGGAAATCACATCAGATGACAAAATGGTGGACAATCACACAAGACTAGAAATCATGGACTAGACAAGTTGACACACATTTTTGGGGGGGAAACAGTTCAATCCATTAACAGTCGCTATGAGTGGAATCAACTCGATGGCAAAAGGTTGTTGTTTGTTGTATTTCTAGGCATGTGTCTTTCTTCACCAGTCCATCTGAGAACTTGGTGATTTCTTTCAGTTAGTAGATGCAAATCATTCTTCAGTTTAGGGAATATTTCTTCTATTATTTAATTGTGACCTATCATCCTTCTGTTTCCATATGTTAAATTTCTTGGATTATTGTCTCATATTTTTCCCTATAATTTTTAATGCTTTTTATTTTTCCTCTATGCTCTACAATATTTTTCCACTAGTTCCTACAGGCCACTAATTCAATCTCAACAATGAGCATACTTATCTCTACCTACTGAATTGTTCTGTTGGGAAATCTTGTTTAATAGCTCCAGAAAGCACCGTGCTGCAATTGAATCTGCTTAAGTGATCTCATCATTATGTCTTCAGGCCTCTCTGATTCTGAAGTTCTGTTGTCTTCCCTGTTCTTCTTCCTAAGTGTTGGTGCCTCTTAGACAGACTGTTATTTAGCTCACTGGAACTCAGCTTTGGTTGCTGGAGTATCCCACGCAACAGCAGAACATAAGCAGAAAAAGGTGCAACAGTCTCTATCCCTACGGTAGATGGATTATTGTTCACAGCTCTTTACTCTCTCCTTTGACAGAATCATACGTCCACACCCTTCACCATGTGACTGCAGAGCCTCTCACCCGTGAACAGCGTATACTTCCCAGTCCCACTGGTATCAGACTCGGCCACGTGACTTGCTTTGGCCAACAGAATGTGAGTATAAGTAACAGTGTGCTTGGTTCCAGGCCAAGACTACTGTATGCAGGTTCTGCTCACTCTGTTGCACTTCTGCCATTGGCCAGGAGAGCAACAGGCCCAGAGTCTCAAAATGAAGAAATACGGAGCAGACCTGAACAAGTCCCACAGCCTGAGCTGTCCTAGCTAATCCACAAATCCATGATGAGAAAAATAAATGTTTATTTTGTAAGCCATTGAGATTTAAGATTGATTGTTCTACAGCATTTGGGGATTGGGGGCGGGGGGAGGGGGCTGTCCAATATGACAAATATAAGCTGGTGGTACAGCAGCTACCAGGTTCCTAGTACCCCAAATGAAACACCAGAAGAATGCTTCCCAGTCTGAAATACCCTTGCATCCTTGTAGCATCATGTATAAAAATGACTCCACCAACTCTTTTTAGTTCATACCTGACCCATGGGAAGCCTGGAATACCAGGCAAATGTTGACTGTCAGGGTATCCTCAGATTTCTGGAGCTGTTTCTCATCCCAGGATGAGCATCGTTTCAATTCTTGCCCCAAGGCCTTTCCTATGCTAGTCTCTGATTCTTGACTAGCCCTTAAAATAGGAAACCCCACAAATGCAATGTCAGTGGCGGCAAGAGAACCCAAGGCCCTACTTGCATGTGGATTATCTAAAGCCCCACCCCAGCAGTTACAGGAATCCAGAGAGGGAAACAGAGTGGAATTAGGAATAAAAAAGGGTAGAATTATTCATTCAGAAGGCTACCAGTTGCCGAGAATTGCTCTTTTTAAAAATTTTTATCAACGTGATAATTTTTACAGCTACTTTACAAGCCAAATAATAAATCTGTTTCTCTAATTACTTCCTAGAATCAAAATGAGACAAAAGAAAGAAAAATTGGACATATACACAGAAAAACAAGGAACAAATCCCATTTATCACTTGCTTTAAAGCACAGGTAAATAATACCATTGAATCATATAAAATTAAACCTAAACCTACAAAATCAGGTTTTAAAAATTTAGATAAGTTTTCTCAGTCTGAAAAGGCTTCCTCCACTGAGATTAAGAAGTCTGCAAATAATAAGTTAACAAATGACTGAGAATCAAGTGACTCAACTATATGCCCCTGGAGGTTTAATACTGTCCTCACTCACCATTTTCAATAGATGTGTCTTCAGGCAGATCCACATCAAGCATAAGGTCATCATCCTCAAGGTCACATGATTCAAGATTATTCAGGATATCCTGTGAGCAAAAGCAGTAAAAAATACTATAACCTAGATTCAAAGGATTTGTGAAATCATTAGTTTTGAAAACACCATACCATATGATCAACCTGGTTTTACTCAGTATTTGTGTAGTAAGAATAAAACAGATTTTAAAAATAAAATTTTAAAAACTAAAAAAAGGAGTTGTTTTCAGTTTTTCCCATGGTGTGGAACACTGACATAAAACAATGATATAAGCCTTTAATGATGCCCATATTCCATTTCCTTTTTTGTGCCAAACCCCCTACTATTACCATCACCTCCACTGCCACTACCTTGGTTTTAGTTCAATTTGTTCTTTCTCTATAGTAGAACTGGACTACTCAAACTGATAGAAACAACCCCTGATGGGTTCTATTTGCAATCTTGCTAGCTTACATCTCTTTAGAAAAGTAGTGTTTTCCTTTCAAAGACTCTTGTTCTAATTCCTAAAAAAAAACAGAATAAACAAAAACTAAGTTTAAGGTAAGGAACTCAGTTTGACCTACAGCCCACTGGTGGACCAGAGTATCCTTCTAATAAGCCAAGAATTTATCAAATATTACAAGACCTTTCTTTAGTACATATAAGTAAAAAAGTTACAACTCCATCATTTTCTAAACAACTTACAGATTATGGACATGAAAAACTCCTATAAAAGGAAATTATCTACTTCATTACAGATAACATGAATAAAATGAGAATTGTTCCCTATGTCAGGTATTGCATCTAAATACTTCCCTCCTTCCAGGAGCCACTGAGGACTAAAAGTAACTAGAATAATTGTTATTTACCAAAAAAAAAAACAAAAAAACCCCTCTGGATAATTATTTAACCTTGACATAAGTAAGAGGTATTTCTCAGAATCACTTTCCATCCAGAAATTTGCTGTCCATCAAGTTGGTTCCCGACTCGTGGCAATCCCATGCAAAATGGAGTAAAGCATTCCCTGGTCCTGTACCATCCCCATGATCAGCTGTGAATTGAACCACTGTGATCCACTGGCTGGTTTTCAAAAGTAGATCTTCCTAGTCTGTCTTAAATCTGGAAGCTCTGCTGAAACCTGTTCAGCATCATAGCAACACACAAGCCACCACAGACAGTCAGCTGGTGGCTGAGCTTTAGGTGCACTGGCTACGCGCATTCGAGTCTCCTGCGTGAAAGCAGAGAAGTCTACCACTGGTTGACCTCCTTAATATATAAAACCAAACCAAACCAAACCCGTTGCTGTCGAGTTGATTCTGACTCATAGCAACCCTACAGGACAGAGTAGAACTGCCCCATAGAGTTTCCAAGGAGTGCCTGGTGGATCCAAACTGCCGACCTTCTGGTTAGCAGCCGTAGAACTGAACCACCAGGGTTTCCCCTTAATTAAAAAGATGAACATGATAATGAAAATGAACATTAAAGAAAAAAATTGGCAAACAATTCATGTAATAAGTATAAAATAAAGGACCAATAAATATGATGTAGAATTTTAATGATTAGAAAGAACACTAACCCCAATGTTGTGACTTATCAGAATAAGAAGAATACAGTACTCATCCAGTACTACAGACAGAAAAAGATTCATATCAAATTTTCTGGAGGCTAATTTATTATAATTTAGGTAAATTCTTTTTTTAAAAAAAATTCTTTCTAATAATTTATCCCTCAGAGATAATCAGACAAATACACAAAATGTATGCATAAGTATGGTCATTGTAGCATGTTCAAAATGGCAAAAAGTAAAAACAACCTAAATTCCCAACAGAAAAATGGTTAAACAGCAAGTATCACACAGTCATACAATGGACTATTCTGTTGTTCTTAAAAAACATAACACAATATAATTATAGACAGAGAAAGATGTTAACTGGGGGAAAAAATAAAACCAGACTTGGGTGTTTAAAATCTTTTGCTCTTATACATAATGCTTCCTGGATCCCTATAGATTAAAAGTAAAATGAATGAATCCATCTGTGTATCAAGTTGATGGCATAAACTCAGAGAGAAACTATTTCAACTGTTTTAGTAATTATATCACGAGTAATACTAATATTATTGACTGTTGTGTGAAATAACTTATGTTGGTGTATGTTGAAAAATGGATTCTCATCTTAGTAAAAAGGAGATGAGGCTATAAAATCAATTAAGTTTAGTTATATATTCCTGAATTTGAATGGGAAGTATCATACGAACACAAGAAATATTTCATCTTAAAAGAAAAAAAAAATACATCACTTGCACTGCAAAGGCCTAAATGCTAACTGAAAAATAAAGCAAGTCTCTAAAACAGCATATACAGAATAATCCATTTTATGAAAAGTTGTATAATATGCACACAAAAAAGTTGGAAGGAAACCAAAACACAGATTAACTATGGGCTTTTTCTTCCTTTTTTATTAAAAGTACCTGCGTTCTTTCGCTTTCTACAATAAGCATACTGACTTGTGTAATTTTACTGCCCCCCCAGAAAAATATATATCTTCTATAAAAACATATGACTATTTGTGTACATATGTCTGAGCATGTGTGAAACAAGATGGCGCTGGAGGTGCAGGCTGATCTGACAACTAACACCCACACCAAAGAATTAAAGGAAATAAAGCCTCTAACATTCTAGGTTCACAGAAGAGCTTGCTAAGAAGCACCAAATCAGCAAAAGGAGCACTGCTACCTTTGTTGAAAATGTTGTTCAACTGTTAACAAGTAACTAAACTCTACATTTGTTTTGTGTGGTTCTCTGTTATATCATTTTATAATGAAAAAGGTTTAAAAAACAAAAAACTAGCCTTGAAGAACAGGAATGAGCCTGTTCTAACAAGTACGAAAGTGATGGGATAATTATATCATTTACTAAGAAAGTCTATTAGCCAGTGGAAAAGGAAGGGGGAAAACAGCAATAGTGACTGGAAAGGAAGGAAGGAAGGGAGGAACGGAAGAAGGGAGGAAAAATCTTTCAGGTTTATGCCTAAAGTTAACACTTCCCAATAAATCAAGTATATATGATTTTTCAGAAATTTATCTAGCCACATGGAAAGATGCTAATCATATACTATAAAATGGAGAAAAAAGCAGATTATAAAATATGTACAGTAGGACTTCATCTTTAATACTGAAAAATACATTTAAATATCTAGAAGGTGATAAACCACAGGATTAAAGCACTGTAATCTTTCATTAGGTGAGACAATAAATGTGTATGTTCTTTACATTCTATGTTATTTTTCTATAATAAAGACATAGTGATTTTATAATAAGAAAAACTTCATTTTCAAAAAAGCATACTCGCCACTGCTCACTGGTCATAGTCTCATATATCATATATATATAGCTCATCTCTAACCTTGTAATGAAAAGTCTGACTCCATTTTTTATGTTCGACCACTAGCAGCTTTTAAGCCACACACACCGCCTTCACCTCTTGCCCCACATCCGAGCAAGCCCCTAAGAAAGCCTAGATCTTCCTCCCCAGGTGCCAGCAGGAAAGTTCAAACCATGTAAAGCCAGCCTATGCTTGGGAACTGTTACCCTGGCCCATCCCCTAACCTCAATAAAAACCAGAGCCACTTGCCCCTCCCTCCACTCAAGCCACCTGGACCAGTTTGGGTGCCTGCCCTGCTCTCCCCAGAAAATCTCATTACATGAGTAATATGGCTTTTTCATATTCTCTTGGTACCTATGTAACATGATCAATCTTGATATCTGAACCAATTTTGGATGAGGGAGTTGATCTCACCCTCCACAGGGCAACCACAAAACACAACCTCAATAATTAAACAAATACAGATACCAATATATGCAAGGCACTATGCTGGGCACAGGATACAGCTATGTAAACAAGACATAATCCCTACCCTCCAAGGCTACGTGTCGCCCACCCCAAACAGGTAATTTCTATCCCAGTACAGTAATTGCTCAAGTGCAAGGGGACACATCTAAGTCTTGGCAAGTCAGAGACAACCTAAAAATAAGTCAAATCAGAGAAACTCCAAAAAATAAAGCAAAAGTTAGCCTCTAGAATATGGGAAAGAACACCTTGTACACAAACAGTAGGTGAGGGCAAAGAAACAAAAAGCATGATTCATTCTAGGGGTTGCAAAATTTTTCTCAAAAGGCCAGATAGTAAATATTTTAGGTTCTGGGGACCAAGGGGCAAATTAAGTTAGTGCTTAAAAAAACCATTTAAAATGTAAAAACCATTTTTAGTTTGCAAGCCATTATTCAAATAACCGTAAGTAGTTTTATTATCTCTCTGTATAAGTACAGAGTATAAGGGGAAGAAATGGAAGTGGATCTACATCATGAACTAGTTAGGCCACATTAAGGAGTTCAGACTTTATTTCAAGACGGGGCTACAACCAAAGAATTTTAAAGAGAAGTGAAAAAATGAGATTTGCATTTAAGAAATATTATTCTGGCTACAAGGTAGAGAATGGACTTCAGTAGGGCAGAGAAGCCAGTATTGTGGTTATTGCAGAATCCATGTGACATAAGATGGTAGCTTGATATTAGTTAAGTGTCGTAAAAATGAAGAATAAGCAGATAGTTATGAAACTTGTTCAAGAGTTAGAATCTACAGAACTAAAGTTGACTGAGAAGAAAGGAAGGTGTCATAGATGACTCTTAGGTTCCTGGCTTGAGAAACAGAATGGATGATGCATATTCACTGAAATAAAGTACAAAAAAAGAAAGACCAATTTTAGCAGGAGATTTAAAAACTCAATATATAGTTCTGAAACCTGATGATTTTGATGTGTATGCTGCATCTTCAGGAAGACATGCCCAGGAGATAATGGAATAAAGGGGCCTGGAGTTCAGCAATGAGACTTGAAATGCAGGACTCTGCATCACACAGGTGACAAACGGAAGATGTATGAATAATGAGTTTGACAAGGTCTCGAGACAGTGCAGAGTGAGAAAATTGGTTTCTAATATCTTTTTTTTCTTCATCTTTATATGAGGTCTATGTTTCTCCAGTATCAGATTTGAGAAGAGCTATAACAGAAATACTGT